ACTTCTGACTCTGAAGCTGAAAGACAACGATTTCACAGATGGAGGGCGAGTGGTTTTCAGAAAGTGGCTCTCGCCTTAGCGCCGCGTACATTCGTTTTTAAAATTTGCAAGAGATTCTCCGATTTAGGGCGGGTCGTTTTCAAAATGTGCATCTCGCCTTAGCGCCGCGCACTTTCGTTTAAAGATTTGCAAGAGCTTCACGGATTGAGGCCGGGTCGTTCTCAAAATGTGGCTCTCGCCTTAGCGCCGCGCACACTCGTCGTAAAAAATACAAGAGTTTCACGAATTGAGGGCGGGTGGTTTTAAAAATGTGGTTCCCGCCTTAGCGCCGCGCACATTCGCTTTGGAAATTTGCAAGAGTTTCACGCACTGAGGGCGGGTGGTTTTCAAAATGTGGCTCTCACCTAAACGCCGCGCACATCTGTTTGAAAAACTTGCAAGAGCTTCACGGATTGAGGGCAGCTCCTTTTCAAAATGTGGTTCACGCCTTAGCGCCGCGCACATCCGTTTCAAAAATTCGCAAGAGTTTCACGGATTCCCGTGATCAGCGTACCAGAAATGGTGTTTTGGAAGGATTCAGGACTATGCGGGCACAACCAGTATTTTGATTCGCTGTGTTGAAGTCCCAAAAATGGCGCTCTGGCACAATTCTGGATCGTCAAGGCGCAGCAGTCAGGTTGATACGTGGCGTTGAAATCCCGAGAACCATGTTTTGGTCCGCTTCAGCATTTTCAAACTGTCGTCTTCCAACGAGGCAGTTCCCTCAATGGAAATGAACCGTTGTAGGGGCCTATAAATCAGGAGCTTGGAGAGAGGGTGAATTCCAACATCCTTGATGACCCTTGGGTTGCCACTGGTCCTCCTCCTCCTCCTCCTCCTCCTCCTCCTCCTCCTCCTCCTCCTCCTCCTCCTCGTCACCATCATCACCATCACCATCACCATCACCATCAGCATCATCATCATCATCATCATCATCATCATCATCATCATCATCAGCATCAGCATCAGCATCAGCATCATCATCAGCATCATCATGATCATCATGACCATCATCATCATCATCATCATCATCATCATCATCATCAGCATCATCATCATCATCATCATCATCATCATCATCATCAGCATATTCATCATCATATCCATCATCATAATGATCATAATCATCATCATCAGCAGCAGCATCATCATCATCATGATCATCATCATCATCATCATCATCATCATCATCATCATCATCGTCATCATCATTATCTGCATCATCAGCATCAGAATCAGCATCATCATCAGCATCATCCTCATCCTCCTCTTCATTCCTCGTCGTCATCATCAGAATCAGGCATCGTCATCATCATCATCATCAGAATCAGCATCATCATCAGCATCGTCATCATCATCATCAGCGTCGTCATCGGACTCGTGATCATCCTCCTCATTATCATCATCATCATCATCAGCAGCAGCATCACCACCACCACCATCATCACCACCCTCCAGTATCATCATCAGCAGCATCACCAGCATCAGTATCATCATCATCATTACTCATCATCAACAGCATCATTATCATCATCAGCATCACCATCACCATCGTCGTCATCAGCATCATCATCATCGTAATCACAATCATCATCATCACCAACCGAATCATCATCATTAGCATCATCATAAGCGTCATCAGAATCGTCATCTTCACCAACATCATCATCGTTATCAGCAGCAGCAGTATCATCATCGTTATTATCAGCATCGTCATCATCACCATCATCAGCATCGTCGTCGTAGTCGTCGTCGTCATCGCCATCATCATCATCATCATCATCATCATCATCATCATCATCATCATCATCATCGTCATCATCATCATCATCATCATCGCCCTCCTCCTCATCCCCATCACCACTTCCCAACGGGCTAAATGCTCGCGACCCTCCCACCTTCCTCGCCGTCCGGGTTGCCCACCCCTGCTGGGGTGCCCCGCCTTGGCCGGTCTCCCTGGCTTCGCCGCTCATCCATAACCTGGCTTCGGGGCCTGGCACGGATCCGTCGTAAGCCCGGCTGGTGCGGCAAGCTGCACTTGACCATGGCAGCGCAATTTCAGACACAGCTCGACAGTGCTCCATAATACCTCGGTTTATATGTCATGTTCCGAGCCGCCTCACGGCTGGCAGCCAGCATCTAGCATCCACTAAAAAATCGTAGACGAATTGGACTGCGGGCTGCGCTTATCGATCTTCAGGCTTCCTGGCCGCAACTTCGCTCTAGAAGTGTTGGTTTGTGATCCGACAAATACGGACCAAAGGATTATAAATCGCGCTTGGTTGCGATGGATTGCTATAGGAAGTAAAAGCCCTCGCCATAATCCTCCTGTTCCTCCTGCTCATCATCCTGCCAGTCCTACTTCTCCTGCTGGTGACACTTTCCCGCCTCATGATCCTCCTAGTGCCCATCCTCAGTCTGCTCCTCTTACTTCCTCCTCCTCCTCCTCCTCATCATCATCATCATCATCCTCCTCCTGCCCTGCATCGGGAGGAGGAGTACATGAGGAAAAAGCAGCAGGAGCAGAAATCGGGGGGACCTGAAGGTGGGGTAGGGGCAGAGATGAGGTTGGGAGAAAAAACACTCCAAATGGCCCCTGGAAGAAGGAGATGTGAGCATCCAACTGGGACACCCCCCCCCCTCTACGAACTCCCGAGAAAAAGGAGCGGGAGAGGACGAGCAGGAGGGCCAGACGGGAAGAGAGCAGGAGAGGCAGCGGCAGGAGCGGGAGAACGGCCAGCATCGGCAAGAGAAGGAGAAGGGGGAAGCATGAGGAGATGCAGAGATGCAGCAAGAGAAGGAGAAGGAGAAGGGGGAAGGAGAAGGAGAAGGGGGAAGGGGAGGGAAGAGAAGGAGAAGGAGAAGGGGGAGCATGAGGCATGGGCGGGTGGTGAGATGCAAGAAGCAGCAGGAGGAGAGCCAAAATTGAACGCCACAGCCCTGAAACTGGAGCTTGCCTGGCGCTAAAATTTTCCTGGCGAAGGACCCGCAGTTGTGGGCATCGTCTTCGGTGGAGCTCCCTATGGACCACGAAACGCTGTACTGGGTGGTGGGGGCGCAAGCGGGCGGTAGCACTGGGGCCTTCGGTGGAGCTCCCTATGGAGCCAAGAAGCGCTGTGCTGGGTAGGGGAGACGCATGTCGACTGTGCCATTGGGGCCTTCGGTGGAGGTCCCTATCGGGCCACGAAACGCTGTACTGGGTGGGGGAGACGCATGCGGACGGTTCCACTGGGGCCTTCGGTGGAGTTCCCTACGGGGCCACGAGACGCTGCGTTGGTGGGGGAGACGTATGCGGAAAGTGCCACTGAGGCCTTCGGTGGAGTGGCCACGAAACGGTCTTCTGGGCAGGGGAAGCGCATGCGGACGGTGCCTCTGGCGCCGCCGGTGGAGCTCCATGTGGGGCCACGAAACGCTGTACTGTGTGTGGGGGGGGGGAGGGGGGAAACGCATGCGGGCGGTAGCGCTGGGGCCGTCGGCGGAGCTCCCCATGAGGCCACGAAAAGCTGTACTGGGTGGGGGGGCGCAAGAGGTCGGCAGCACTAGGGCGTCTGTGGAGCTCCCTCTGGGGCCACGAAACCGTGTACTAGGTAGGGGGGACGCATGCGGGCGGTAGCACTGGGGGCGTCGGTGGAGCTACCTATGGGGCCACGAAAAACTGTATTGGGCGGGGGGACGCATGCGGGCGGTAGCACTGGGACCTTCCTTGGAGCCTTCTATGGGCCACGAAACGCTGTACTGGGTGGGGGAGACGCATACAGGCGGCAGTGCTTGGATGGGGGGGGCGCATGAGGGCGGTAGCACTTGGGCCGTCTGTGGAGCTCCCCAGGGAGCCACGAAACGCTGCACTGGGTGGGGGAGACGCATGCGGGCGGTAGCACTGGGGGCGTCGGTGGAACCCCCTATGGGGCCACGAAAAACTGTATTGGGTGTGGGGGCGACGCATACGGGAGGCACTGGGACCTTCGGTGGAGCCTTCTATGGGCAACGAAACGCTGCACTGGGTGGGGAGGACGCATGCGGGTGGTAGCACTGGGACCTTCGGTGGAGCTCCCTACGGGGCCACGAACGCTGTACTGGGTGGGGAGGGGACGCATGTGGGCGGTAGTGCTGGGACCTTCGGTGGAGCTCCTTGTGTGGCCATGAAACGCTGTCAGTGGGCGGGGGGGGCGCATGCGGGCGGTAGCACTGGGGCCGTCGGTGGAGCTCCCGATGGGGCCACAAAACGCTGCACTGGGTGGGGGAGACGCATGCGGGCGGTAGCGCTTGGACCTTCGGTGGGGCCGCAAGACGCTTTGCTGGGCAGGGGGGACGCATGAGGGCGGTAGCACTGGGACCTTCGGCGGAGCTCCCAATGGGGCAACGAAACGCTGTACTGGGTGGGGGGGCGCATGTTGGCGGTAGCACTTGGGCCTTCGGTGGAGCCCCCTACGGGGCATCGAAACGCTGTACTGGGTTGGGGGGACGCATGGCATGCGGGCGGTAGCACTGGGACCTTCGGTGGAGAACCCTATGGGGTCACGAAACGCTGTACTGGGTGGGATGCGGGCGGTAGCGCTGGGACCTTCGATGGAGCTCCCTGTGGGGCAACGAAACGCTGTACTGGGTGGGGGGGATGCCTGCGGGCGGTAGCACTTGGGCCTTCGGTGGAGCTCCCGATGGGGCCACAAAACGTGTGAGGGCGCAGGGGGATGGGAGGAGCGGGAGGAGTGAGGAAGGAAGGAAGGAGGAGGGAGGGAGGGAGGAGGAAGGAGGAACGCGGGGCGCCGTCTACTCAAAACGAGAACCCAACACCACAGGACGAAAAAAAAAATCAGGAGGGGTGAGCAGCAGTACCAGGTGGGGGAGGAGGAGAAGGATGAGGACAAGAGAGCGAGAAGAAGCGGCAGGAGCAGGAGCAGGTGGTGACCAAGGCGCCAGCCGCCCCGTTCCTCCCGGACTCTGCTCCTTGGCATCCGGGGCGCCTGGACGGGGACGTACTTGCCCTCCTCACGCTCCCGCTTGTCCGTCCTGGAACCGAGACTAGCATGGGAGAAACGGGTCTGGAGGGAAACGGGTCCTCAACCCCGGGGCCATCGTCCCGAGTCGTTTCCTGACGTTCCTGGGGCCTGTGGAGGGCCCCAAGAGCCCGAACCTAGAGTAGAACCTCAGGACCGAAAGATTACACATAAAACCTTTCTGAATGCAAATAAAAGAGTGCAGGTAAAAACCAAAGAGAATGCAAAGATTGCAATATTGGGTTTTATCTGCAAGGTTTTCATCTGCAAGGCTTGTATTTGCAACCCTTAGGACCCGCTTCCCCACCCGCGAGTCCTGGAGCCGAGAGGCGGCCTCAGGCCGAGGCCAGTGGCGAGCGGAAGGCATCAGGACCCGCTTCCCTCAGGAGCCACTCCTCCTCCTTCTCCTCCTCCTCCTCCTTCTCCTCCTCCTCCTCCTCCTCCTCCTCCTCCTCCTGCTGTTCCTCCTCCTCCTGCTCCTCCTCCTCCTCCTCCTCCTCCTCCTCCTCCTCCTCCTCCTCCTCCTCCTCCTCCTCCTCCTCCTCCTCCTCCTCCTCCCTGGGAAGCCGAGCGCCGGAGGAGGGGCCAAAAGAGCGCGCGGGCCACGGCAAAGCCCCCCCTCAGAGAGGGGGCCACGGCGCCTCCCCTGGCGTTATCGGCTCGTTATATTCGCGGCGTGCGTGGAGTCTTCAGCAGGGACCGACCGTTCCGGCATTCCTATAGTCCTACCACGAAGTGTTCTTAGAACCCAGACATGTCCTAAGAACAAAAACACAATGACACTGGAGGAAAAGTACAAAAAAACAATAAACATACTTTGTTTAAGGCTTTGGGGCTATGGGCTATAAGGCTATGGGGCTAGCAGGTTATGGGGCTATAGGGCTACAGGGCCACAGGGTCATAGGGCTATAGGGCTATTGGGCTATAGGGTTATGGGGCTGTAGGGCTGTAGGGCTATAGGGCTATAGGGCTATAAGGCTATGAGGCTATGAGGCTATTAGGGCTACAGGGCTATAAAGCTATAGGGCTATAAGGCTATATAGAGCTACCGGGCACCTGGGCACCCGGGCACCCGGGCGTGCGGCGAAAATCGGCGGCAAACCTAACCTAACAACATGAATCCGCTATGACCCCTACAGAGGCAAGCTCTGATTGGGGAATGTTCTTAGAACATAAACCCGATGTGTTGAAACAAGACAGTCACAGCCAGAAATGTTCTCAGAACATTTCGTGGAAACCACAAAAGGTTCTTAGAACATTGTTTGGTAGGCCTAAAGGCACGCCAGGACGCTTCGCCACTGCTTGAGAGTCGACGCTCGTGTACAGTCTGCACGCGTCTTGGTTACGCAAGCACGAACTAGCGAGGTTGAATGCATTTCAGGCGCGCTGCCTGCGTAAAATTCTGGGCATGGCGCACTCATATCTACCAGTCGCGTCCCCAACGCCGAGGCTCTTCAGCGAGCCCGGCGGGCCAAGCTCAGCGACCTTCTGTTGCAGCGGCAATTGATTTTGTTCGGTGATATTGCGCGCAAGTGCAACGACCATCCTGTCAGGTAGGTCGTTTTCCAACCTTCCTCCTCCGACTTGGAACAGCTGCCCGGCCGCCGAAAGAGGGGCAGGTCCCAGCAGGCGTGGGCGGCAGAGTTGTATAAGCATGCGCAGCATATTTGTCGTCATGCTGGTTGTCATATATAAGTTATTTGGGCACCTTGACAGCAGAAAGGCCTGGAAAGCGGCAGTGCGCAAGTATACTATCTAGCGCACGCTCGTGCCATCGCTCATGTGCCTACGGACACGCGGCTTCATTCATTCATTCATTCTCGCCACCCTTCAGGGCCAGCGAGCTCGCTGGCCTGCGGGGCCTCGCCGGCGGCATGCGGCGGCACGCGGGTACCAAAGGGACGCACAGAGACATACGAAGACTACATGTCCTCCTTGGAGGCGCGCGTCCGACCCGAACGTATAGTACACCCACCTTGTAGCATATCATTTCCCGAGCGGTGCGGCCAGAACCGCCACGACGCATATACTGTAAGATGTTTCGGTGCGCGCGTCACCCCTGCGGGGTAGCACATAATATTACTATGTTGGGGCGACGCCGAACCAAGGCGGTTCATGGGTCTCGTTTGTGAGCTGGCGATAGGGCCAGATACCGTCAACCCGTATAATGAGGACCCATGAGAAGCATGCGAAGGTCCTGGAGAGCCCCGTCGACGCTTTGCAGGCGGGGCGCGGCCAGCGAGAGCGGCCAAGGGTGGGCCGAAGGGGAAGGGGTGCAAGAGCATCCTTGGAGAATACATCATCCCTACGCGGGCTGCCATAGAAAGCGATACGAGCGACACATAAGGAGCGAAGCCCCTTTTGAGCCCCAGAGCCTAGAGGAGGGCTAGAGGAACAGCCGTGGAAGACCCCGAGGAACATCGAGCCCATTCCGAAGCCAAAGTGTTCCTCGCTTCGGCGTCGTGACTGCAAGGTCAGAGACAGAGGCAGAGAGACAAGGGCCCGGGCTGGCGAGAGCGCGGCCGCAGGGAGCGGCACCCGAGCATGCCCGTGCGAGGCGCAACCACCCAGCCGGGACCGTCTGGGTGGCCAGGGCCGAGGGGGGCGCCAGGGGCTCTCCGGCGAGCTCCCCTGCCCATGCCAGAAGCAGGTCGAGACGACGAGAAGGGCGGTGAGGGCGAGAGGCCGGCATCGCATGCCAAGGTCGGCCGTTCATGGGAGGCGATGGCGCGGCCGAGGAGCGAAAGGATGGCCAGTTTCTGGGAAGATGATCGACTACACGCAAGGGTGGCCCCAGGCAAGAGTAATCTCTGGTGCGCGGTTTCAGGGGGACGCGAGGGGGCCAAAACCAAGCGCGCAAGCCGCTGCTACCGCATCGCGCTCAGCGAACGGGGGACCCCATTGGGCCCGCAACTGGCATAAGGTCACTCTGACGTCCAGCCGAGAAGAAGGAGCGCGACCACAGAAATTCACCTGACCCAGCCTCGACCGCTGCGCGAATCCAAGTCGCCAGGCAAACAGGTCGCTATTGCATCGGCTAGCCTATCGCACGTCAATGATTGTAGCGTTCCTGGCTTGCCTGAAAAAGAAGACCCTGTTCTCCGCTTGCCTGTATCACACTGAATCCTGATCCCTTTTGGCTGTGCCCGAATTCTGGCGACGCGCACACGGGGCGCCCCCCCCCCCCTTCCATCTCCCCGCCCGCCGCCCGTGTCGATGCTGGAGGGGACGCAGGAACCTCGGCCCTGGAACTACAAGTGATCTGACCTGTCGCGCTCAGCTCGCGATGGCGGGGAATACGGGGAGCGCCGTCGTCACTGCCGCCACCGCCGTCACAATCGCCAGCGGGGCCATCCTCCAAATGTCGGCGACGCCAGTCCGCGCTGCATATCTTGAAGATGATTATCGCCCAGCTCTTCCCATTTTCCTCCTGCTTCTTGAATTCCCGCGTCGGCCAATGGGATATGATCATCCATGGATGCGGCCGCCCTTCCGCCGATACCATCACCGCGATCGGGATCCAAGGGGCCCGTCCACGATGGGGGCCGCGAGATGGGCGGCCAACCTGGCAGTTACCGCGATACTGACTGCGAGCCATGCATGGGCATATGCGAGATTCTCTGCGATCCTTGATCAGATCTAGCTTGAATGCCCGCTTTTCGTCACGGCCCCTGCCGCGACATTCTGACGCTTGGATGACGTGGTCCCCTCCGGCCCGGATCACAGACTGCTCTGAACACCACCAGTGGCGAATCTGCGCCTCGACGTAGCCCTGCTCGACGACACAGCTTCCTCGATCGCTGCGCGCGGGCCCTGGTCGTCGGAAGAGAAAGAGGCACACCCCTTGCCGGGGTAAGCAAACCCCTCTCCCCAGCCTGTATCGCAGGAGCCCGCGCCGCACATGGGATTGGCTGGCCGAGCGTAGCTTTTGCCCCTAGAGGGGCCGGCACCACGAGAATGGCTGCGGCCGCGACCAGGACCGCCCGTGTCCGGGCAATATTTTCTAACTTTAAACGGCACGCCTGCTGCGCGGCGGCCGCCGAACTGCAACCCGCCGAGCTGCGGCCACGGCGCCGATTGGGGCTTCCCCAGACTTATCCCGCATCATAAATGCTTTGGCGCGGGTCTGTCCCTACCCCACTGCAGCCCGCTCCTCCGCCGTGAGTCCGAACACCGTCGGGGCTGGGAGCGGGTGGAATGGCGCCTGCTCGTGCCCAAGCTGTTCTATGATTTCAACGCCAGTGACGGGCATGGTCTTCGCGTCGGACGCGCAATCGTCTCCGTCGCTGTCATCGCCGGAATTTTCCTGCACGTGTCCGCGCCAGCGCGCGCCGACCCAGTCCTCGATGGGGGCGTCGCAGAGCTCCTCGATCCCATCGCAAAGGCAATCGGCATGGCGATCCACCGATATAGCAGCGCCGGCAAAGCAAGCCATCAAAAACCAAGCAGAACTGGTTTGAGAGTAAAAAGAATGGTCGGTTCCAGGGAAATCAACGCACTCAATAATAATATCCGCTTCGGGTTGCCCTGAACCAAAAAGTACGGATGCGCCCCCTTTTCTGGGGGGCAACGATAGGGGGGGACTGGCACGGGGGGGATGCATCGACCTGGAATCGGCGATACATCGCCGATAGATCGGCGATAAGCGTCCGATAGTGATTCCACACCTTCCTGGGCAGGTGGGGGCTACGGGAGCCATATCGGCGATCGATGGGCGATTGGGGGTCGATGCATCCCCCTGTGCCCATCCCCCCCTATCGCTGCCCCTGACTTTCCCGCCTCCATTGGAGTATTGTTCTTGGAAGTGGCATTGCACATCATCTTTTTTTTCCACACTTGCCCAGTGGATTGAGCCTACGTCCCTTACCCTTACCTGTTGTATGCCTACGACCTTTGCCTCTACCTTGACTTTCCTAAAAAGAAAAGTTTATAGTCGCAGCCGGTCAATCGAGCCGCGAAAGCGGCCACGCCTTTGCCGTGCAGTCTGCGGGCACGTCGGCCACCTCCGCAACCACCCTTTCCTTCACGGAAGAAGACGCGACGCACAGCTCGCCTGAACCTCCTGACTGCTGTGGTCCCCCTCCACCCTCTTTTGGCACGATGATAGCCTAGGTATAGGTATTGCGCAGCTGAGCCATCACCGGCGGGCAGGTCTGACCAGCTGAGGTTTTCGGCACCGGTAGAAGAGACCGCATCGGCATTCGCACTGAAATCGAATACACCGTCATCTCGTTGGCTGGGTGAGCCCCAGACAGTAGTCGCGCCAGGCGTCGCGTAGCTGGCCGCTGACGGCCAACCCACGTTTGAGCCAGACGCCTGTTCGCTGTTGTTGCGGGCGTCTCGACCTAAGAGCATCGTAGACTCAGTGGGCTCTCCGTCATTCCAGATGCTGTTCGGCATGGCTGCCACTGTGTCGCTAATTTCGGCGTGGTCAGTGCCAACAGTGCGTCCGCTGAAGATGCTCCCGATGTTCCCTGGTGAACGTACGGCCAAGTGTCCATGGCTGCGCATTCGCTCCAAGAATTGGTCGTACTGATGTTGAGTTAGTACGGGGCATCCAGTGGTTCACCGGATGCAATACCTGGGCTGCTCGGGAGGTACCAACCCCCAAGACACGAAATATGATCAGGGTAAGAAACTGGAAGTTGGGTATGTTGAATGAAGCCTACTGAGTCTGCTTCCACTCTGGCCATCTCGAACAAGGCCAGTACTGAGTCGATACGCTCGCCTCCGTCGACTCTGAAGTCGATGAGGGCTGTCCCTGATGTGAGCTGTCGCTCGTTCTCACGGTTTTCAAAATGTATGTGGCTCTATATCGGTGCGCCCCCCCTGCAGTGCGACACCATACTTGATGACGGTGGACGGCACCCGCACGGCTAATGTCCTACCCAATCCCCCGAGGCCGCGCTGTAAAGCAGATGCCTGTCGGGGTGGAATCAAATTCCCGATTGCGACAACAAACCATGCGTGTACTTCGCGACCAAAGTCGCGGAAAGGTACGTGATCTGCGGGATTTTAGAAAACACCCCGAGTGCGTGTTTCATCCGGTCCTCCTCATCCTCGCACGCATGCCACGGCAAAACCTAAGCACACCCAGATATTTCCAAAGATCGCGACCTTGACATAATGCATGGTCATGTTGTAGCTGATGATGTTGGGTTGCGCATCATTGGATATTGTGGCGTCCGTAAGGTTGCGACTGGGTGTCTGGTTGGACGTGGCCGTCACCCTGTGGATACGTATCGGTGCTTGGGTCGTGCGTGGCGTGTGGCCAAGCGGCGGGGACATGGAGGTGTAGGGTTCGAGAGCATTGCGAATGTAGTTGCTGAAAGCCGGCGCAATCGGGTACTACACTGTGCCGCGGTAGGTTGTTATGTTCATAACACTTGATGTAAAAGCCAGCCACATGAAAATGTAACCAGCTCCGCTACCAACTGGAAAGTAAGGGCACAGGGTTTGACCATGAGGTGATAAGCTGAGAACCCTCCTCTTAGGATAACGTCGGCGACGTATCGGGGTATCTCACACCTCATCCGCTAATGGCAAGCAAGACGACATGTAAGAGAGAAACCATGAGATCGGGAGATGGATCATAGAAGGACGTGGCCTTCGGTCCGCTGCTATGATCCGCAGATAGAGTCACACAATCGTGCAACTGGCAAATAGGACAGCGCTGCCGTGAGCCAAGACAGCGTCGGATAGACCGTTCGCTATACAGCCTGACCTCAAACCTCGTCTACTCTTGGCGACGATTCTAGCACACCCGCCAACTCATCAAGAACGTCAAATAGCTCGCAAAGGCGAGCCTCTGATGAGAAGATGCTTGCGCATCACGGACCGAAATAACTTAGACGCAAATACGAGTGCGCACACATTGCAAAAAAATGACTACTGCCTCTCGCAAACCTGGTTTTCTTTTTCTCTTGCGCGTGCAAGGCAAGCCTGGGCGGAGGACGTTTGTGATTCGAAGCGCTGACGGATTATACCCAAACAATACTTTCCCCGGACCCATTTCCACGAAGAGCATGGTGCGAAGAGAACAAAGCAGGGATAGGGAAGACATGAGCCCGCGATATCCATCATCCCCGCTGCCCAGTTTCCATCCACTCCCTCGCCTCTAGCCAGAGTGTGTCCTCTGTGCCAGCTGCTCCTCGTCATTGACGAGCGTCACGCACGTCCGCTTGCCGAAATCTTTGAACGCCTGGGCCTTGCGTTGCCTGGCGTTCTTGTACACGTTGGTCTGGTCCTGTCACGCATGGCTGCGATCTAGACGAGAAACCGGACCGCAGCGGTCAAAGACGAGCAGAAACTCACTAGCCTTCAGAGCGGAGGTGGTCCAGAGCGTTTCTTTGTCCATGTTCCCTCTTTCCTTTCGGGGAGGGGCTGACCCCTCCCCCTACACCTTCCCCTGGGTCTGGATGGGGGGGGCGACAACGGGTTGGAGCGTCCAACATGGCCCAAGATGGCTCCAAGAGGGCCTCAGAAAGCCGAAGTTGACGAAGATGACCTCAAAGATGGCGCAAGATGGCTCAAACTGGCTTCCAACATTCTCCGAAACGCCTCACGATCGCCCCAAGGCTGCTCCAAGTGGCCACGGAGCCTCCAAGGAAGCCATCAAGAGACACCTCATCCTCATCCTCATCCTCATCCTCATCCTCATCCTCATCCTCATCCTCATCCTCATCCTCCTCATCATCATCATCATCATCATCATCATCATCATCATCATCATCATCATCATCAGCATCAGCATCAGCATCAGCATCATCATCATCATCATCATCATCATCATCATCATCAGCCTCATCATCATCATCATCAGCCTCAGCATCATCATCATCATCAGCATCCTCCTCCTCATCCTCATCATCATCATAATCATCATCATCATCATCATCATAATCATCATCGTCATCATCATCATCATCATCATCATCATCATCATCATCATCATCGGCATCATCATCATCATCATCATCATCATCATCATAATCATCATCATCATCATCATCATCATCATCATCATCATCATCATCATCATCATCATCATCTTCATGATCATCGTCATCGTCATCGTCATCCTCATCATTATCACCATCATCACCATCATCACAATCATAACCATCATCAGCAGCAGTAGCAGCAGCATAGTTATTCGCATCCTCACCATCATCACGATCATCGTTAGCAGCAGCAGCAACATTCGCATCAGCATCTGCATCAGCATCATCACCACCACCATCAGCGATTGCATCGTTCGCAGCAGCAACAGCAGCATAATCGTCAACATAAGAGTGATCATCATCAGCATCATCAGCATCATCGCCGCCATGATCAGCATCGTCAACATCATCATAACCATCATCATCATCATCATCATCATCATCACCACCAGCAGCATCATCATCCTCATCAACAGCAGCAGCATCATTACCATCATCATGATCATAGCTATCATCAGCATCAGCAGCAGCAGCCACAGTAGCGCATCATCATCATCATCAGCAGCATCATCAGCATCATCATCATCATCGTCATCGTCAGAAGCATCAGAATTATGGTCATCACAATCATCATCATCATCATCATCATCATCAGCACCACGGTATCGCAATCAGAATCAGCAACATCATCAGCGGTATCGGAATCAGAATCATCAGCATCATCAACATCAGTATCATCATCAGCATCAGCATGATCATCATCAGCATCAATATTATCATCATCGGCATCGTCGGCGTCCTCAGCATCATCATCAGCATCATCAGCATCATCAGCATCGTCAGAATCAGCATTATCAGCAAAATCGTCGTGGTCATCGACACCATCAGCAGCAGCATCTTCAGCACTATCATCAGCATCGCCATCAGCATCAAAATCATCAGCAGCATCAGCATCACCGTCATCACCATCCAATCACAATCATCAGCATCATCATCATCGTAATCATCATCATCAGCATCATCAGCATCAGCAGCATCATCATTATCATCATCATCAGTATCAGCATCATCGTCATCAGCATCAGCATCAGCATCAGCATCAGGATCAGCATCGTCTCACCATCGTCAGGATCATCATCAGCATCAGCATCGTCATCAGAATCATCATAAAAATCAGCATCACCATCATCAGCATCACCATGGGCATCATCATCAGAAGCATAATCATCCGGAGCAGCATCATCATCATAATCAGCATCCTCATCATCCTCATCATCAGCATCATCACCAGCATCGCCAAAATGACAGCATCATCAACATCATCATCATCACCATCTCCACTGGCAGAAACCTCCTCATAGTCACCACCAACCTCAGCATCATCAGCAGCACCAGCAGAATCACCATCATCAGCAGCAGCAGCGCCATCCTGATTACCATCGCCAGCCGCAACAGCAGCAGCAACATCATCAGCGTCATGAGCATTACCAACATCAGCAGCATCATCATCATCAGTCTCATCATAACATCATCGGCATCCCCACCATAAGCATAATGATCAGCATCATCATTAGCAGCATCACCATCGTCATTATCGTCATCATCGTCGCCAGCATCATCAGCATCATCATCGTCATCATCACCAGCAGCAGCATCATCACCCTCGTATTCATCCTGATCATCCTCATCATCAACATGATCAGCAGCATCATAATCAGCATCATCAGCACCAGCATCATCATCATCACCATCACCATCATCATCAGCATCATCATCATCAGCATCATCATCATCATCTTCCTCATCCGCGTGTTCCTCCTCCTCAGCCTCCCTCCACACACCTCCCCCTCCCTCTCCTCCTCCTCCTCCTCCTCCTCCTCCTCCTCCTCCTCCTCTGCCTCTTCATCCTCCTCATTCTCTTCCTCCTCCTCCTCCTCCTCCATTTCCTCCTCCTCCTTCTCCACCTCCCCCTCATCCTCCTCTTCCTCCGTCCCTTCCTCCTCCTCATCTTTCTCCGCCTCCGATTCCTCCGATTCCTCCTCCATCTTTCCCCTCTTGGAACACTATGCCCCCCCCCCGCCCTTTAATGTCCACTGCATGATCCTCCAAATCCCTGATCAGGGTAACCCGTCGGGGCATCGTTTCTGGATGTGCTGGTGGTGCCCTCTTCGCCGCGAAAGTATCAACAACTGCTCAGGTTGCACGACGGAAGACGATCAATCCTAGGTAGCCAAACACAGCGATTCCTCGGAAGCCGCTCATCGGCAAGGCAAGTTGGCGTCCAGCGCTTGCTAAAGATCTTGGCATTCCAAAGACTTGCCAATTTCCCCTGGATCCCTTGTCCTGGGCCAGGGCGGCCGTCTGTCCTTCACAGACTCAAAAAATCATCGCGGCGTCCGCCAGCAATACTAGTGGAGGAAGGGCGCTGAATTAGCCTGGCGCAGGACCCAACCCAGAGCAGCTGCGATAGGCGCAGGAAAAGGCCCTCTCGTCATAGGCAATGCGCCACGACACGGGGAAAACACCCTGTTGGGTACCAAAATCTACGGAGACCGCCTGCGACAAAATGCCGTTGAGACCTTCAGTGGAGTCCCCTGTGGGGCCACGGCAAAAAGCGAGGAGCGTGCCGAAATGGACGGGGGGACGTTTTGCGATACACTGCCGCTGTGACATTCGGTGAGGTCCCCTGAAACTCACGAAACGTGTGAGCGCTGTGCCGAAATTGGCGGAGGGGGGCGTCATGCGGCATCTTGCCACTGAGGCCTAGGTGAAGTCCCCTGTGGGGCTACGGTGCGCGTGAGGGGTGTGCCAACATGGGCGGGGAGGGGTATGCATCCCCGTGCAACTGCTGCTGCGGCCTTCGGTGGAGCTCCCTCTCGGGCCACGAAACGTGTGAATGGCGTGCAGGGATGGATTGAAGGACGCGATGCGACCGCACCCCCTGAGGGTTCCGGTTGAGTTCCCTGCGGGGCCACGGAACGTGTGCGGGGTGTGTCGACGTGGACGGGGTGACGCTACGCAGCCACACCCCCTGAAGGCTATCGTGGAGTTACCTGTAGGGCCGTGAGGCGTGCGGCCCGTGGCGGGTGAGCCGAAATGGGCGGGGGGCACCGTGCGGCCACCTCCTTGAGGTTTCGGTGAAGCCCCCATGGGGCCACGAAACGTGTAAGGGTGTGCCGAGATGGACGGGGAGGCGCTATGCGGCCACACACCGTGGGGGCTTCTGTGGACCGATTTCTTTATTGTTCTACCCAAATAATGAGCCATTCTTTTACCCAAAAAAAGAGCCACCGAACGTATGAGGGGTGCGCCGAAATGGGCGGGGGGATGCTATGCGGCCACACTCCCTGGGGGATGTCGGTGGAGCTCCCAATGGGGCCGCGGGGCGTGTCGTGGGCGCTCCGAAATGGACGGGGGGAGTGTTGTGCGGCCACAGACCATGGAGGCTTCGGCGGAGCAACTTCTGGGGCCACCAGACGTGTGAGGGGGCGTGCCGACATGGACGTGCGGATGGGAAAAGAAGGATGAGGGAAATGATGGGGGGCGACGCGGGGCGCTGCACAGTGACCCCGCACCGCAGGATTGACCAAGACCATCCGTGAATTTAATACGCTAGCCAGCGTGGGCCACAAACAGTAAGTTGTTGCACTGCGGATGTGTAAGCTGTGTGATGAAATTTACGTGGTGCCAGCTATGTGGTGTAAGCTATGTGGGTGACAACAATGTGGTGCACGCTATGTGGCCCAACCTCGACCAACCCCCTAAGCGGTGTGGGCGGCAACGACGCAACACGCGGCGAAACCTCGACGGACCCCCAAGTGACCAGCAACGCGGTGATACCTCGACGGACCCCCGAGTGGCCGGCAACGAGGCGGCAACGGGCAGCGACGCGGCGGAACCTCGGAGGACCACCCAGGTGGGTGGCAGCGGGGCGGCAACGAGGTGGTAACAGGAGGCGACGCGGCGAAACCTCGATAGACCCCCACAGGTGAGCGGCAACGAGGCGGCGACTGGCGGCAACGCTGTGAAACCTCGGCGGATCCCCCAAGCGGGCGGCAACGGGGCGGCATCGAGGCCGCGAGCCACCAACACCGCGACGGGCACCCCAAGCGGGCGGCCAACGAGACGGCAGCGAGGCACCAACGGAGGGCGATGCGACGAGACCTCGGCGGACCCCACAAGCGGGCGGCAACAAGGGGCAAACAGGCGGAAATGGGCCGCGGCGCGGCGAAACCTCGACGCCTCGACCGCCCCAAGTGGCCGGCAACGGGCGGCAACGGGCCGCGACGCGGCGAAACCTCGAC